GGGGGGGGGGGGGGGGGGGGGGGGGGTGAGGGTTGAGGGTCTAGGGAAACACCGTAGAACCACAAAGGAGAGCCGCTTTGAAAAGGACATCGTGCACATCACTAGCTGCGCCTCTGCAGGCAAAGTGGCCAGAGCATTCTACCGAATTTCTTCGAAGGGGCCCCCTAAACCCCTAGACCCTAAACCCCCAAACTCCTAAACCCCTAAACCCCAAACCCCTAAACCCTAAACCACCACTACACGGCTGCTCCTTGCTGCTGCTCTCCCGAGATCGCCGCCTCTTCGTCATCTACTTTGGTCTTCGGACCCAAGCGGTGCCGCAACAAAGGACCACTGTTCTGGGCCAGGCGGCAGAGGATCCAAATGGGCACGACGAAGACGACGGAGATTAGAATCCCAGGGCCCAGGAACTGCCAATCCCATGCACTGACCACGGGAAGTCTCTCACAGGCATCTGCCTTGGAGGTGGCTTTGGGCGCCTGGCTAGCAGGTGCCGGCTGGATACCCTGACACTGCAAGAGGAAGTGTAAGTCCTGGGTGCTGAAGGGTGACAAGGCAATCCGAGCAGAGGGCGACAGCCCCGCTTCAACCCGGGCGCTTGGGGGCTGGCCATCGCAAGAGTGGATCTCCATCTCCGGATCATGGCCCCTTTGCCAGATGACCTCCACCATGGGATAAAGGTCTGCTCCATTCCGCTCCTTCAGGAACTTCTTCACGCTGGGCAGCGCGTTCAGACGTCAGGCAGGACAGCTTACGATTCTGGCGCAGGGCCCTCGCCAGAGCCCTGATTCCGTGGCGTTCTCTGCGGCGGCCGAGTGGAGCAGCACCAAGCACAGCAAGGGTGTCCAAGCCGCCCATTGCATCATGCTTCAACGTTTAAGTGGGCATTCACCGCTCGTTCTTGTGCTGTGAAAATACTATGTGGGTGCATGTCGAGTGATGCTTCACTTGGCTCTTGTGTTCCCAGCAGTACTTAACAAGCTTATTGAGCTTAGCGTGGCAACTTGTCAACTGCTGTGAAGGTTTATGCGCATCAGGAAAAGCAATATTTTTGGCTCCCGCAAGCAATAATAAGACTTTCTGAAGCGCATACCAAAAACTCACCGGGGTTGTAAACACCACCGCCGCGCTTCCAGAGTCCGCAGCGCACGACATGCCACCCCCTTGCAGAACTCGTCTGAAACCCTCGTATACACTCTATAAGCCTTTTAAACAATCGGCGGGACGCGGGACGCAGGACGCGGCGGCGGGAGGACGCACGAGAATTAGCTATTATGCATGGGGTATACATACAGGTTTAATTTTGCCGCGGAGGCGGCGGGACACGGACGCGGGACGCGGCACGCCAAAGCACACGACATGCGGAGCGTGGGATAGTGGGTCTGTCTATCTATCTATTTATCTATCTAAACCGGAATCGCGAAAAGGACGGGTCTGTTTCAGATATATGATGAACCGAAGTCGCCGAATGAGGGGGTGCGTTTAAGATATATATATATATATCAAAACGAACCGAAATCGCTGCAGGGGAGCGTATTTGAGATTCTGTGATGGACCGGAATCGCCGAAGGAGGGGGCATGTTTAAGATCTATGATGGACCGGAATCGCTAAACAAGGGAGCCATGCGGAACCGGAATGGCCAAAGGAGGGAGCGTGTTTAAGATATATGATGAACCGAGGGGGAGTGTTCAAGATCTATGATGAACCGGAATCGCCACATGAGGGGAGGTGTTTAAGACATATGATGACTGGAATCGCCACAGGAGGGGTGTGTCTAAGCTCTCTGATGAACCGGAATGGCCAAATGAAGGGGCGTGTTTAAGATATATGATGAGCCGAAACGCGAGATGAAGGGGGGCGTTAAAGACCTATGCATGATGACCCGGCATCGCCACATGAGGGGGCGTGTTGAAGATGCTTGATGATCCCAAATCGCCAAAGGAGGGGTCTGTTGAAAATACATGATGAACCGGAATCGCCAAATGAGGGGCATGCTTGAGATATATGGTGCACCCCAATCGCCAAATGAGAGAGCGCGCTTAAGATACAATCATGATGGACCGGAATCGCCAAATGAGGGAGGCGTGTTTAAGATGCATGGTGAGCCGACATCGCCATATGAGGGGCGCGCTTAAGATATAGGATATACGGTATCTATCTATCTATATATCAATCTATCTATCTATATATCAATCTATCTATAAAAAAATATATATAGAGAGAGAGATAGGTGTATATATATATAGATAGATAGATGCATACACATACATACATACATACATACATACATACATACATTACCTACGTACGTACGTACGTACGTACATACATACATACATACATACATATGTATGTATGTGTTTGTATGTGTATGTGTATGTGTATGTGTATGTGTATGTGTATGTGTATGTGTATGTGTATGTGTATGTGTATGTGTATGTATATATATATTATATATATATATATCAACTTCTTAAACATACACACAGACACGTATATACATCTATATATATATATATCTGTGTGTGTGTGTTGATGCGGTCCATGGGCCGTTTACCGCGCAGCCGCACCCCGCGGGCGGCGGCGGGCCGAGGGAACGCGGGACGCGGGAGGACGCACGAGAATTAGCCAATTATTAAACCCTAAGCCTAAACCCTATTATGAAACAATCTTACAACCCTCCGCCGAGGAGCTCCGCTTCTGGCCCATCCTCGGTTCTTACAATGGGTTTATAGGGTTTTTTCTAGAAGGCCTTAGGGTTTAAGGTTTAGGGTTTAAGGTTTAAGGTTTCGGCTTTCGGGTTTTAAGGTTTCGAGTTTCAGGCTTAGGGTTTCGGGTTTAAGGTTTAGGGCTTTGGGTCTAGCTGAAACTCATAGCACGAGGCCCGGGGCTCCCACTTTGATCTACTATTAATGTACTCGAATATATTTTAATATAAGTACAGTACACTCTGAAATACTAGAACACTATGATACACTGCAAAAGGCTATAATACTCTCATATGCGATAATATACTCAAATATACTCTCCTATACTACAATATTCTCTAGTATTTATTAATCTATTCCGACATACTATAATATACTGTGACAAGCTACTGTAACAAGCCCCCTCCTAGCCATGGTTCCGTTGCTTGTAGGAGCGGATCTCGCAGCGCGTGAGGCGATCGCGGCGCCAGTCGCCTAGGTGGCCAGGTGGGCGAAAGCCAGTGCTGGTGGGGATGCGACAAGTAATTTAGGGTTTGGGTCTTAGGGTTTACTTGTGACATGTACCTTTCCAAGTCGGGCATGTATCAAGGCCCGATGTGCAGGGAGTGAGCATTCGACTAGACCTCAGGCGCACCCGGGCTGCTGCGCTAAACAGAATCAGCCCTCGGCCGGAGGAACCACGTCGACGGGCAGGTCTTTTCTGCCGGGCCTGTGCCAAACGAACCGGAATATGAGCACCGACAGGACTGCTGGGTTAGGTCTACGACTCTACATCAACGGCCACGAAGGTCACTAAAGTGAAGGAGTTCAAGGACATGAAGGGCCACACTATCCGACAATGTGGTCATCGCTTCCGCCATGCCTGCAAGGTCCTCTCTTCCCGTTTTGAACGTCTGCTTATATCAGATTATCATACAATATCATATTGTATATCGTATTGTATAGTGTGCTATACTCTGGGTCTCCTTCCTGCCATCAGACTTGCGGTCTGCGGGGTTTGCCTACGGCCCGAGTTTCATGTACAATACCACACGGTATTGCTGCAACGACCGACGCGGTCTGAAAACGCGTAAATTCGAGCCAGACCTGCAGGTACAGGAAGTCGGGAAACATGTCGTCCAGAACCTTTGCCATGCATGTGGGCAAAGCAGCAAGCACTGGAAGAACGAGCCCACGGTTGCCAAAACAACTATCCAATAGTATTGCGTTAACATGTTTGACCAGGTCCCAGGTGTGAGATGGCCAAGGCAGCTGACGGGTCTACGCAAGCAACACGTCACGCACGCTTGAAATGTGGAATAGTGCGGAATAGTGACCAAACTTGCGCAGCTCTTGGTTCGTAATTACCTGAATACCTTCCGGCTCCTTCTGATAATTACACCAACCCTAAACCATCCTAAACCCTAAACCCTCAACCCAAACTTACGCCAGAACCCTGCTCCAATCATCAAGGCTCCTATGTTCCATCTGCTGAGTCGAAGCTGGCCCTTTACCCTAAACCCTGAAAAATGAACCCCAAAGCTCAGGCGGCCACACAGCGAGGCACTTTGCCAAAGATGGTGTCAGGATCCTGGGGCTTAGGGGCTTTAGGGGGCTTAGGGGCTTTAGGCTTTAATCAGGGTTTAGGGGATTTAGGTTTTAATTAGGGTTTCGCGGATTTAGGGTTTAGGGGATGTCTGGATCCTGGGATGCACATGGATGGCATGCACGATCCCGTGGCATAGGAGTCTTGTGGCAATCCATTTGCAGGACAGCTGTCGAGTGCAAGATGGTGCAGGTGCCGGCAAGCATCGATGTCCACTTGCTTCTGCACTTGCAGCAGATACCTGTCCTCAGTTGTTCTGCAGGTGTCGCAGGCTTAAGTCTTAGCAGTTGGATGCAGGAAGTCCCCCCAGCACACGATGCAAATGTCGGCACAACCAGAAACACTTTCCCCAGAGCCATCCCCCGAGATTCCAGAGGCAGAGTCGAACATAAGACTCTCCGGAAATATGCAATGGGAATGGCCGTGTACATGATGCTATGGCGTCCAAGCCGTTGTCCCATCTTGAAATAACCATAGAGAACAGAGTGCAGGCAGGCATCGCACCACCGCGGCACCGCCTTTTTCTGGCGCAACTTCTCTCGCGCAGCGGTGTCCTCACCTGATGGGCGTCTCGACCCAAGAAGGGAGTTTCGGAAAGCAGGTGGGCTCTAACATCTACCCTAACCCATGTTAACAGGAGACCCCCAGTACTCGAACCATCCGAGGCAAAGCCTGGAGCATTCGGATGCCCGTCCTTCGGAGTCACCACCGTAGTCAGAGATGGCGTAGTTGTCCTGGGCTTGGATGGTACAGCATCCGATGTGCTACACATCATGTGCACGAAATCACGTCTCATGCTAGGCTGCTGAGCATTCCACGGCCTATGCGAAGTCCTGAAGACCGCTGAAAGTCTAAGACGGGCCATCAAGACAGTGCCGCCTGTGGAACGTGCAGAAGCTATGTTCTTCTCCGTTTGCTGTAGCGATGAAAGAACGTGCAACTCTAGCAGCATGCTGTGCAACCAAGCGTCTTCCGGCTTCCTGACAGCGGAGACTGTTGGAATGCTAGAAGCATACCGCATGTGGAGACCCAAACGACAGGGGATACCAGGGGCTTGGGGTATATTGAGTATATTTTGCAAACAGTCAAACTAGAATGGAGTATCCTGGGCGATCGGGATCTATGTAGGGGTTGTGAAAGACTGATCTCGCTAATTGCAAGAAGATCCACCGCTGGTTGGCCGAGACACTTTGGCGACAGGTCGATGTTCCGCAGGTCCAGGTAGGGCTCTTTGAACAACGGCACGGAGGGCATTCTCTTTAGCTGGTGGTCCTCCACCTCAATGTTGGCAGGACTTGCAGATCAAGGCCTTTCTTCTTGGCCGCATGAGTAAGCTCAAGAGCACCGAAAGCCAGCAAACGTGCATATGGCTCAGTG